GTGACAAACTTTGGTGCTTTTTGATGAGTTACTTTCATTTTTGCTTCTACTTTTCATTTGAATTAGGTTTTCATTCTCTGCAGGTTTCTAAGGTTCTTCTTCTACATCTTAAAAAATGTTGTTAAACATCTGAGTGGTGCACTACTGCTACTAGTGGTGAGAAAGTGTATTGCACCTTATTCTAAATCAATGTGGTCCCACGGCCCTCTGTGGCCCAAAGTTAAAAACTGTTGTTCTTTTGAGGCCCTCAAGGCGGCGCTCACGGCCCACAATTGGGCCGCAGCCCATGGGTTAAGAATCTCTGAAATGAACCAAATGCATTTCCTGTTTAAACTATGAAGTAGAGATAATTGTTCTGACCTACTTGGACTTGACATGGTGAATCTGCTCCTCCCAGGTGATGGAAAGTGTGTCATCTGTGACTCGTACGTGAGGCCGTGCACGCTGGTGCGTATTTGTGATGAGTGTAACTACGGCTCATATCAGGGACGGTGTGTGATCTGTGGAGGGCCCGGTGTGTCCGATGCTTACTACTGCAAGGAGTGCACCATCCAGGAGAAGGATGTGAGCAGCCCCGTCTTTTTATTTTACTGTAGCTGCACTGACTGAGTCTTCACATGGTTTCTAACTCTGTTCTCCTTGCAGAGGGATGGATGTCCCAAGATTGTAAACTTGGGAAGCTCCAAAACTGATCTGTTTTACGAAAGGAAGAAGTATGGCTTCAAGAAAAGGTGAAGACAACTGAGACCGCTCCAAGTTTTTACACTTTTCATTAAAAACATTTTTTGACTTGTCAATAAAGCTGTTTTTCACATTTTTGTGGTTGTGTTTTTCATTGTTGAGCCATTTAAATACTGGACATATGAATTGTATGTTAGTAAACATGGATCAGAAGGGGAATGTTTTAGGGCAACATGACTGACAAACCATTATCGCTCCCAGTTGATTTCTTCACACCAAGCTGTTTGTCTACTGCAGATTCAGTTTGTCTGTTCTTACACAGCTCTTTGGTCTTCACCACAGGGGGGTTTGACTATTTCAGATTGTGAACAGGTGTCTTTAAACTGAGAAGTTTAAACAGGTACCATTACTACAGGTAATGAGTGGAGGACAGAGAAGACACTTAAAGAAGTGACAGGTCTGTGACAGCCGGAAATCTTGCTCGTTTTTTTTTTTTTTTTTGACCAAATACTCATTTTCACCATAATTTGCAAATAAATTCTTTAAAAAGATCAATGTGATTTTTTTTCTAGATGTTTTCTCATTTTGTACCTTTATAGTTGGTCTAACTTTGTCACTTACAGGCCTCTCATCTTTTTAAGTGGGAAAACTTGCACAGTTGGTGGCTGACTAAATACTTTTTATGCCCACTGTATGTAAAGTCTCCAGAATATAAAGTCTGTTGAAATGATTCTTAAACTGAGTCAGAGAAGGACTGAAGAGGATTAGGGCCACTGAAAAAATAAAAAAAGAATTCTGAATTTAATCTCAGAATTCTGAGAAAAAATAAAAATGAGTAAAAATAGTATTGCTTCTGAACTGCTTTGTGAATCAAATTTAACATTAAAAACAGGATAAGTGGTACTTTTCTGACTTCTGACAGAGAAAACCTTTTTTCTTACAGCAAACCAAAAATATTGGCTGAAAGACAAAAATGTCTGTTTTGATAAATAATGTCTGTATTGTGAAAACTGTAGCTGTAGAAAGAAGTTGTTCGCTAAGAGATGTTATAAAAGCCAGACAGCAGGTCACATGACTCAGTGTGGGGCAGTTAGGAGCTGATCTCAGTCTATTCCTACCAGGCTTTTTGACTTTTTTTTGCATTTGAAGAGGCCATGGTAACTGGAAAGGCCACTAAAAGTAGAAACACACGTCCCACCGCTCAGCCGGTCATTTTGATGTAACATTTATAGGGGTGCATATTGCTGTTCTGGCTGCATTAACGTAGGATAAAAAGATAGGATCTCTATATTTTTTAGCTTTTTTTTATGAGGACAATAGTTTCCACCATTCAAATGAAATGGCTTGATACAGCAAGCCTACTAAATAAAACTCCCATAAAAATTTCATTTAGACTAAAAATATACTAAATTGGCTCAATATAAATAAAACGTCACAATAAGTTTGTTTCATTTTACAGTAACAGGATCTGAGAAAACACAAAAAAACACTTAAACTTGTGATAAGCTTTATTTTTTACATTCTATATACACAAAAACACTGAAAATACAAAAAACAATTTTTAACAAAAACAATCTAAAGACATAAGAAAATGTGACCTGCAGATATATCCTGATAAAAGCATCTGAAAAACAACCACGTCTAAATCCCCCCAAACTATTAAATAACAAGGCTCAGAGTGATGAGTGGGGCTTTAAACCTTGTTAGGATGAAAATATTTTTACAAAATTCAGCCACTGTTGTACTTGAAAACACTGATGTGGCCATCAAAAGGTTTCCAAAAGAAAAGTGTAAAAGTCAAACTGCCAGTGGATGGAAGCACAGCAGAAGAAAAACGATGTTCCCTTCATTCGAATCGGAGGTGAAAGGAAAAGAACCTGAGAAGAGCACACTACATTCATCAGACAGGACACTTTTAAAAGATCCTTATCCATGAAAACCAGTCTGTAGTTCTGACATTTACTGGATTATATATGTTCTGTAAAAAAGGTCAGAGGTCATCTCTGACAGATGAACCCAGGCACGAGGATTATAGGAGGTAATCTCATCGAATTGTCCAGAAGGATTTCCCTAAAGGATAAACTCAATCTATAACTACGTACAACACATCCAAACACAGATCAACACGTCAGGACCGTAAAGAAAAAACACTCCTGAGTCGTAGTTCACACAGCAAGATAAGGGTGCTGATTGGAAAAGAAAAGGACACTTCGGATCACAATGTCTTTAAAGACCATTTTAGGAGATATCCCTGTGTTGTGGTGCGTTAAGACCAGGGCTGGGATAAAAGTATAGATTTAATCGATCTGGATCGATTCTCGTTCAAATTTGGGAAGATCGATTCATAAGTCATGAGATTGATTTTTTTCCCCCACGGGTGTTGTGTGCGATGAAGCTGCGCGTTTCCATGTTGTGAGTCACTACTGGCGTGCCGTAGGTTTACATCCAGGTGACGGTCAGTGCTAGGGCTGGGTATCATGGCCTATTCTCTAAATCGATTCGATTTCGATTCATAAAGTGTATCAAAGTGAGCTCAAATCGAGGATATTCAACATGTTGGATTGTCTTGACCCTGACATCCCAGGGTTTGTGGAGTTCCTCGAGGACAGACTAGCTCAGCCTGATGAGTGTGACGCGCAGCCAATCAGAAACAAGTGACGTAACATGAAGGACCACAGAAAAGAAAAAAACTGCCATGGGGCTCCAGAAAGTCTGCTGGACAGTGATAGTTTTGTCTTTTCTCTGCTGAACATATTCCAAACTATCACCATTTCTTCTTAGTCAGCTGTTTGAGCTCATAGACTTCCTGTCTGAAATCTGTTCATGTGTGGTGTTAATGTGTGGCAGTACACAAACCTCACATCTATGATTTTATATGGTTGTGTGTCCCAGTTTCTGAAAAATCAACCAACAATTATAAAATCTTGCTGTGTGAACCAGACGTTCATCAGAGAAACCTCCAGACGAACAGAACAAGAAAACAAAGTAAACACAGCTGGTTTGTCCTTGGCCACCAAAATCCCTTGAAGATTTAAGTCATTTTAAAATGTAACAATAAAAAACTCAGATCTTCACACAATGTGATAAATAATGAACTTAAAACAGAAGAGAGGTCCTCAGAAGTCTCTATAACCTCTGAAAACCTGCCAAGGGGTGCAACAAGACAAACCAAGGAGCGAGACAAGATTTGACTAAATGTTTAAGAAACAAGGTTTTGTCACAAACTCTGGTTTCAGACCTCAAAACTAAACCTCTTCAAATATCCTTAATTACCTTTTCAACGTCACAACAGTTTACTGTAAGATTTTTTTCATAAAAGTCCTTTATACATTCCTGCTCCTTTCCTTTTGTCTCCATATTTTAACTCGTTTCCAATAAAAACGTCATCACAGCCCACCAAAACTACTTCAGATAAAACTCAGTGATTTTCAAGCGGCTGCAGACATTTTACCTTAAAATGACCGACGACGAGAGAGAAAGATAATCTGGGTTAAATTCAGGCAGATGGTGTAGACTTAGAGGCGTGGCTTTAGGTGCAGACTGAAGTGTTGAGCCACGCCCACATGCTGTGACGACAACTCAAGGTTCGGGGTATTTTAAGTTATTCAAAATTAAAAGCTTAAATCTGACTTTTCTTCTAATATTTCCTGTTCTGAACAAATGACAGAGCTGGTACAGTTCCTACATGTTTAGGGTCCGTTTAAAAAAATGTATTTTCTGTAAAACTTTGAACTTGTTTGGGCTTGTTGAGATACCGAACTAGAGTTGGGCAATATTGGCAAAAAATAATCAGGATTACCGTATTTATTCATGTATAATACGATCTCATGTATAATACGACCC